TTGTTTTAATTTAACTAACTGTACTAAAATAACTAAAACTACAACTGAAATTAAAATTAATAAAAACTACATAGACATATGTGTTTTATATACACGTCTATGTACTACTAAAACTACTAAAAATGACAAAAACACAACAAAATGTCTAAAACTTTAACTAAAAGTAAAACTGAAAATATAAACATAAAGCTGATTCAAAATATTAGTATCAATTATAATAGTATCTCAATTATACTAAAATAGCACTGTTATAGAGACCCTTCCAATGCTAAAATGTGTTCACCTGAAATTATTACCTTGAAGAGCCATTCTGACCTGATCTACACTGAAAAATATTGCTGTAGGATTTACTTTGAGACCATTTTCACTCAGAAATGCTAGTAAACTTCACAAATAATTACAAAGAACACAGAATTAAATGTGAAATTTTTGACAGACTTGAAAGACTGAAATAGCGTTTTCTTGTAACATGACTCCACTAACTTCCATTGTGATTCAGTGATGTTATTATTTTGACTTCACTGAGATGCAAAGCACATTTGAAACATTTGTGTGCATTCTTTCACAAATGTAGTCCATTTACTGTTGAAGCAAAACTACCCCAAAAACCTCCCTTTATTAATGAAGTGCTACATTATGACTGGCTGTCGGCCAGAGTGCCTGAGGTCAGCGGATCAGACTCATGTACTCACCCTGGTACTCCTGTCCCGGGACGTATGTGCCGGGGCTCCCTTGGATCTGGAAGGTGAGCAGCACCTCTCCTCCTCCCTCGGGCCCGGGGCCCTCCATCTCACCGTGGTGGGTGCACAGGAAGAAGAAGGGATTGAAGCGCGGGTAGAAGCCAGACGGAGAGCCTCCCAAATCCACGGCGCACGCCGACACCAGCAGCAGGGCGCAGGCAAGAGCGGCCCGAACCCTGAACATCTCTGCTCCAGGAGAGAGAGGAGACAGAGTGTGTGTGCGCGCGGCCAGGTGTGTGTGAGTCTCACAGGTGAGTGTGTGTGTGTCTGTCCTCCCTTCACACACGGGAAGTTCAGAGCCTGGTTTTCAGCCCCGCTCCCACACTTAAATAGCGGTCAGCCCTCCCTCACTCCCTCCGTCTCACTCTCCTCCCATCTCCCCTCCCTCTCTCTCGTGTGTGAGTCTCACAGGTGAGTGTGTGTGTGTCTGTCCTCCCTTCACACACGGGAAGTTCAGAGCCTGGTTTTCAGCCCCGCTCCCACACTTAAATAGCGGTCAGCCCTCCCTCACTCCCTCCGTCTCACTCTCCTCCCATCTCCCCTCCCTCTCTCTCGCTCTCTCTCTCTCTCTCTCTCTCTCTCTCTCTCCCTCTCCCTCTCTCTCGATCAAAAAGCGCCCCGTTTGCCTCTCATCTGTTTCCTCTCTGCCTCATTTCTGTCAATCATTCTAATATGTCTGCGTGTTAGTGATTTGTCTCTCTCTTTAGCACTGTGTTTTGTCCAAGACAGCCTGCCTTTGTCTTTTTCTTCTCGACTCCCTCCATCCCCCAAAGCGGATTCCCTGCTTTTCCACCCAAAGATCACACCTCCTCCTCCCTCCTCGTCTCCTGTCTCTCCCCATCTCCCGTCTCTGATAGGACCCTCTCGGCTCAGCCGCCTCTTTGTGCTCCATTCACTCATGTTCTTTCTTTTTGTTTTGCCTTCTCCCAGCTCTATTTCTCCGTGTATATCTCATTCTCCTTCACATGAACGTTTCCTTTAAAATCAGACCCTCATCTTGTCTGTGTCTCTCAAACAGAGGCAGTTTGTGCCAGTAACACACACACACACACACACACTTCACACTTTCTCCATCTGTCTGCTCTTGTGTACGACTCCTTGAAATGATCCAGCCATCTGAGACGTTGAAGAAGAAAACATTAATGCTTGAATATGGATCAGAGATTTCTGCCATTACTTGCAACATTCTTGATTAATTCACACATTTGTCCTGCAAAGTTCACAGTATGTGCAACTGTGCAACTAAATTGACCAGGAAATTACAATGAGAAACACTGTTTAGGAGTTTCCACACAGATTCACCCCATTCAGAAAGTTAAGAGCTGCTGTTTATCAAGTGAGCTGAAAACCCTCAACGACTCTTCTGATCCCTAACACAACACCATTCACTGACAATATACACCATTCACTCCACATTATGAATGTAATTCTACACTGGCGCACAATACAGTTATGCAGTTCACATTTTGAGCAATTATAGACCAATATCAAATCTTCCTTTTATAGGCAAGATTATTGAAAATGTATTCTTTAATCAGCTGAACAAATACTTAAACTCAAATGGATACCTGGACGATTTTCAATCTGGTTTCCGACCGCATCACAGCACAGAGACAGCGCTCATTAAGATAATAAATGATATTCGCTTAAATTCTGATTCTGGCAAAATATCAGTGCTGGTACTACTAGATCTCAGTGCTGCGTTTGACACGGTTGAATCACCAGCAGGGTGGACTATTGTAATGGTCTCCTCACCGGCCTTCCCAAGAAGACCATTAGACAGCTGCAGCTCATCCAGAACGCTGCTGCCAGGATTCTGACTAGAACCAGAAAATCTGAGCATATCACACCAGTCTTCAGGTCCTTACACTGGCTTCCAGTTACATTTAGGATTGATTTTAAAGTACTTTTACTCGTTTATAGATCACTCAATGGCCTAGGACCTAAATACATAGCAGATATGTTCACTGAATATAAACCTAACAGACCACTCAGATCATTAGGATCGAGTCAGTTAGAAATACCAAGGGTTCACACAAAATAAGGGGAGTCCGCTTTTAGTTATTATGCCGCCCGCAGTTGGAATCAGCTTCCAGAAGAGATCAGATGTGCTAAAACATTAGTCACATTTAAATCTAGACTCAGAACTCATCTGTTTAGCTGTGCTTTTATTGAATGAGCACTGCGCGATGTCCGAACTGATTGCACTGTATTTTATGTATGTATAATAATTTTCTATTCTTAACTGTCTTAAATTCGTTTTAAATCAATTTTTAAATAATTTTCAAAGTTTTTAAATTCCTTATTTTATTCTTGTGATTATTTGTTTTATGATTATTATACTTTCATGTAAAGCACTTTGAATTACCATTGTGTACGAAATGTGCTATATAAATAAACTTGCCTTGCCTTTGCCTTCACATAAACATAGACCTAAACATAACTATACAAGAAATCAAAATGCTATGAGAAGCTGACACAAGTAGGGGAAGCGTGAGCAAAAACATGCATGCAGTCCTGCGGCTGATTCAGAGCGACAGTACGACTGCGAGTGTGATGTTACTGTAATGCAACACTTCAGTAAACAAGATACATACATTTTGGACACTAACATTGTCTGTTTTTGCTTCACCAACAAAAATAATTCCAAACCAACCAAAGCAGGATCAACCACTGCGTCTCGGATCAAACTCAGCGACTAGCACTAACTGTGTTTAGTTTGAGTGATGCTAAAGTGTTCGTTAATCACCTTTTAGTTGTAGTACACACAGATTGCTGAGTGCAAAGCTTTCCTGCAGCTCAAGCATTAGAACATGATGCTGGAGACACCAAGGTCATGGGTTCAATTCTCAGAAAAATGTTGCTTTGGATAAACACATCTGGCAAATGCATTAATGTTAATGTAATTTTTTTTTTTAAACTACACCAAGCAGTCTATCAATAGACCCACATATGATCTTTAAAAAATTGCATGAATAATTATATGAGGATGAGCATATGCGGATATTTACACTTCATGAGCCTCAAGCGATCATCTATCTATTGCATAAATGTGTCTCCTCAAAGCAGATCCTGCACTATAAGCAAAATCACTTCACAAGAATCAACAGATATGTTCTGCAGTTTGTTTATCGTCAGCTGATTTGGAGATCAAAGCCGCATTAGGAGGCAGCGCTGGCGGGAGAAAAACCTGTGTAGTGATCATCAGCGTTAATGAGAAAACTGGAGCTTCAGGACGAAACGCTGAACGTTCAGCTCCAGCGGATGTGTGTCTAAGAGCCAGGCTGAAAAACTCATGCTAAACATCATGAATTTGGCTTTCTGTGCTTAAAGAAGGGGCTTGATCCCAAGACTCGGCTTGAGCTCCGAACAAAACCCCCATATAATGAATAGAGGAGGAGATGAGATGCCGGAAGACCTGTCACTTTGACGGCTCAATGACTGCTGTTATATAGCCTTCAGACGCTGATTGACAGGACTGAACGATTAGGCTCCTCCCATCATTATTAATTTACCATAAAATTTACATATGTGGCTTGAACAACCTTACGAGTTTTCCTGATCCGATCCGTCTCAAATACATCTCAGAGGGCATTTACGTCTGCTTTATTCATGATCAGATTTCTTTCTTCCAGTCAGTGAAAAAGCACGAGTCTTCCAAACGTAAACCGGCCCAATGTCAAGCACTCGCAAATCACTGACCATTAAACTGTGAACTATTCTGCCTGAAGCTGCACATTCAATGTCACCTCCTCTACATTACGAGCAGACGTGCTGTTTGATGAACACCAACACGGATACATAATTACAGACCATTATTATTATTATGAGGTGAGATGCATCGTGATAGAGAGAAAAAGAAAACACATAATCTGAGTGTTGTTCAGGAAGGAGCCGCTGTCTGACCCTCATGTGTCCAACATATAAATTAGGCCACTAAATGACTGCTATGACAAACGAGCAAAAAGAGTTTGACATTTCTGACTTTTCATCTACTTATCCATCCATTGTAAAAGACAACATGTCATTCTGGTCTAATTGTTATGAAGTTTCAGCCGGAGACAGAGCAATCGCTCTCCATTATGGAAACTAGGTCAGGAGATCTGGTCTTGGGAACAGAGGGGGTGGACGAGGCTTTGGGGCAGTAATTATTTTTATCTTCATTAAGTTCTACCTCAAGGTTGTAACAGAGCCTTTGACATCTGTGCTTTCCATTCGATCCCTCAGCCCTTGTTCTACTGCCTCTGCTGCGTGCCAGACGTCGTCTCGCTCAGCAAGACACACAGAGACAGCAAGGAGTTTGGAGGGACACGGAGAGATATGATTATCAAGGACACACACGAGACACATCAGACATGCCCTTGGAACATGCGTGTGAGCGCTTCATTAACACGCTTCATCAGTGCTAATGAAGTCTTAACTGATATTACTGTGATTATTTGTTTTGTGCAAGTTCTTATGCAAAAATAAAAGTAACCAGCGATACAACGTATCTATCTCAGCAGTTCTTTATCTACTTTGAAAAAAGGGCTCAACAGATACGCAGTAACCAAGCAACACAAAATTGTAGCAAAAATAAATGAATAAATATGTTTCAGATGGTTGCTGAGGGCAACAGTAAATGTTTAGCCTTGATTTCAGGTGTCTGAGAAGAGACAAGGTTAAATGGTTATTTTAGATGATACTACAGTAAATCACGTTTCCTCCAGAATGTGCTCTCTTTAAGAGTTTACATGTTTATGTACATATAATATCACACTTATGGCTGAACATAAAACCTTTTTCTTTTTAAATCAACTACATAGTAGAATATTCCAGGTTAAGCTCAATCAATAGCATTTGTGGCATAAATGTTATCACTATATTATAATAATTTAAAAGTAGAAATGTTCAGTTTTTTCTATAAAAGATGTTGTTCTGTTAAAATGCATGTGTTATTTGAGATGTAAGGCTGTTTATGTCATTATTTTCACAGCTTTAGTTTTTATGGCATTTTCATCATGGCAAAAGAGCTGTCAAATTAGACTAAAATCATGTTAATTGCTCACGTCTTGTGCATATACTGTTGAAACAGTGAATGTTTTATTATTGACTCCATTCACTTCCACTGCAAATGTCTTACACAGTATGGCTTTTTTATTTTTTAAAGAAAAAGAGGGATTCATTTTTGTGTTCAGTTATGATGTCATGTGAACTTATAAGAAAAAAAATACTGTTGTTGTTAATTAGTATTACTCAGTACTTACGTGTGGAAGTAACAAGGACACACTGAGATGAAGCTGTTTATGAATCAGCTGCCAGCAGATTCTCCTCGCATCCACCTGAAAATATCATGATGCACTGTCTGACAAGGGTTTAGTTATGCATTATCATTTTTTCAGAGCTATGTGAATAAATCTATAAAATCAAACACATAATTGGTTGCACCACATGATAGATAGTCGCACCAAAGTGTGACAACATGAGGTTAAAAATGAGCTCAAAAAGACGATCAATTCCATGAAAAACACAGAATAAATTGATCCTCAAACCATTCAGAAAACAACTCATAATTGGTTTATAAACATAAGCAAGTGTTTGAAAATATTATGAAAGGTTTTTTTTCAGAATGTGAACAGTCCATCTCTTGCATACATATGGATTATAATACATCATTCTAACGGGACAATAATAACCTAATCAGCTGTTACTGCCAGCACAGCTGGAGTTTGTACTAGTCTGTGGAGTTTTGCCCATTTATCTACTAAATACATCTAAATAAATCTACCATCTAGTGTGATTCATTGCTGTTTTACCGCATACTTCTGCTGGGTTTCTGTTATTTTTATCATGAATCCTCTGTGCTTTCTGATTCAATCTTTTCCTGTCTTCTGTTCTTCATACCATACCCAGGCCTCTATACAGACCTCCTCCAGGCATTCACAGGTCTAGTTAAAGCTGATTGTTGGTGACTTCACATATATAATTAAACCACACATTCTGGTTCAGACAAACTGTGAAACTTCCACTTATCAGCGATATACAGGGTGCAGAAAATTATTTTTTTTTCTCACATAATTTGTGCAAAAATAATTCTGATAAAGAAAATAAAGCAGGATGATTCAATGGAATCTAGTTTAGTGCTGGATTTTGATTCATTTCAGTGACTCGAGTCTTTTGAATCTGCTCACCAAAAAGATTTGTTTGGATTCATTCTCTGACTCGTTCAGTGATAATAGCCTAATACACAAAACAAATCCACAAAATACATTGTTGTTTGTGGTTAAAACATTTGTGGTGATTAAATATACACTTACACGACAAAATTGTTTATTATCATCATTATTACCGTTGTCCTGGCAATATCTAATACATTTAGTACAAATCAATTTAATGAAAAAACGCTCATTTGTTGCCACCTACTGGCTGAAATGTTTAGCCTATTACAACATTTTTCTTCTTCTTCTTTATAAGGCATTATGCATGCATAAGAATATAGGCCACCTACCTGTGAAATATATTATAAATAGGCTTCATAAAGTGTTACCAAACTTCTTATTAGCTCATAGTGAACTTTGTCAATTATAGGTAACCTATCTTGTTGCAACGAACTGGACAACTAATCATCTTGATAAATGAATGAATTAATTTGAATGTGGCTGTCATGAAGTGGAAAGTACTAGTGTTTTTTTTTGTTTTGTTTTTGCAAACAGTATCTTCATCTATTCTGTGTCTTATGGAGTCGCCATGGTTACTAAACAGATGATATGATTGACTGCAGTGTATTCTGAACAGACTCGAGCTCTCCTGCCATCTGGTGTCTGGTTGTCTCCCTGCTTTGTCTGGACACTTTAGGGATCGTGAAGTATCTGTGTTTGGATCACAAAGGCTAAAACAGTGGAACAAAAGCTGAAAAACAAATAAATAAAATGTAAGTATTTTTCTTTGTAACTAAAGTGAGAGTAGACAGTAAGCCAAAATGAGCATCTGTTCTTCGTGTAATCCCAAACAGCAGCACAGATGAGGTTTGATTGAGCTGCGAGCTTTACTGTACTGATGGGAATCTACATTTCCTTCAGCCTGAGGCTCATTCACTTCACTTTTGGTGTGAAAGGTCTTTTACATTTGCCAAAAATATAAATTTTTATATTAAAAACAAACAATCAAGCCCAGTCCAGATGAGAAAAAGTAACTCAAAAGTAACGTAACACAATACTTTCCATAAAAAGTAACTATGTAATGCAATTAGTTACTTTTTAAGGAGTAACACAACATTGTAATGCATTACTTTTAGAAGTAACTTTCCCCAACACTGCATGTGAAGAGTGTGTATTGGTTTCCTTTGATTAGCGCTCATTCCAGCGGGTCAAACACAAGCTGCTGGACGCCAGAAACTCACTCAGCTCCCGTTTTCCACATCATTTGCCATCAGCAGTGAACGGGCCCCGGTTTGGGCTGTAATGGGCCAGTAATGGGTCATTCTGGCTCCAGCTGTGAGCTGAAGGTCATCCGTCATCATCTCAAACAATAAATGTAAAGGTCAGCAGGTCAGATGCTGCTGCCCCCCTTCAGGAGAGCAGAAATCAATACATGATTAGAACTTCAGTCCGCACCAAACGACAGCCAGCCATATTTCAATGATGATAAAGAAGGTTCGCCTTCGTCATATAAATATGACATATCTGTCCCTATAACAAACCGACCAGTCATTCTTCATAGTTATATCACCATCTGACAAGCTATTATCTTAAGAATCATAAGGAATAAATATCATTCATGATCATAATGTTTATATGAAGCCCCATTACTTCAAACGAATTATACTTCAAACCAGAGCTCTGAGAAATATATATATATATATATATATATAAAAGGGGGGGTTCTGTAGAAAGGGATCTAATATTCATTAAGCCAAGCTTTATCGTGTGTTTATCTGTATTATATCTGTTTATTATTTGTTGAACATCAGTTAAAGTCGTAAATGAGTTTGGATGTGTTTTGTATTTTCTGGTTTAGTCTCGAGGTGAAAGAGATCAATGCTCACCAGCTCTCTGCAGATGTAGATAGAAACACCTTCTTCATTCACCCGTCAACAGTTGTCATCAGGGCCGTTTCTAGGCATAGGCGAGCTAGGCGGTCGGCTAGGGCGCCACCAGCTGAAGGGGAGCCAATGAGCGCACGTACTGGCTTAACCCTTTAAGTAGCTGCACTGGTTCCTTTTATGCCACTGATAAAGCTTTTATATGTAGTTTGGGGTAACAAAGGGGTTTTATAGGTTTGACTGAAAGACGAGCCTCAGTAAACATTGCAGACACGCCTGTCTCAAAGAATAAATTACTAATGCATCTTCTACTTTTTAGACTCTGAGACAGACTGAGTGGCAGGCTTGTGGTCTTTCGAGGCAGGATGATAACGCTGGCTGTGTCACTTCTCCATGATTTGACCCATTACTGCAGTCACGGATCTCACGATTACAGTCTGTGAATCTCTCATTCACTGTCAATGAACAGCAGTGAGTGACTTCAGACGGGTCTTCTGAAGAGAACATTTCTGAAGATCGGTGTCTCATGAAGGAGCATCGAGGTAACTGTGTGAGGAATGCCTTACCTGTCGTTTCTGACAAACTAAACTTCACACCATCCTGCAACTGAGGAAAGCAGGGGAATACCAGCTGTAAGAAAACAAACACCAAATCAGTTCATTGTGAAAAATCATATTATATATTTGTGATTTTTGTGGTTTACAAAAGTGTCATCAAAACACACAGCTAATTTTGAATGGTGATTATGAGAGAAAATAATGCTATTTCTGCCTTTAATTCACATTGCTAACGAGCCAAAGACCTCCATCAGCTCAGACACAACCACAAGTCTTCTGCTTCTTCAGTTAAACTGTAATGAATCAGACTGGGGAAAAACATGGCTTAAAAACTACTTTTAGATTTCATTTCACAGTTCTTCCACACTCCCAAATATAAAGTTATTTTTTGGCATCGCTGGTTTCATGAAGAACCTTTCAGACACACAAAGTGCTCTTTATAAAGGAACACGGTTAATAAAATTAATAAAATCTTCTTCATGGTTCTAAGAACTGCTCACTGAAAGGTTCTTCTGTGGAATCATGAAAACAATCTTTATTTTTAAGAGCGTGTTTGAGCAGTTTTTTAAAATTTTTTTATGGTCATAGTAAAATTTATATGCGTGTAATTTTTCCCTAAGCATAGCTATAGACCGGTGCATAAAACTTACAAAACGCCAGTTTCATAGCTCTTCAGTAACAGAACAAGTGCACATATTGCTGGTGGAAGACAAGTTACCCTTCAACTGCGGCAAAAATCTTTTTTCAGCTGCAGAAACCAACTACTGCAACAAAAACAGTATATATATAAAAACAAGTTCCCTTTACTTTCATTACATAGCACTTATTTTAACTGTTATTTGTTACAGTTTTGTGTACAATGTAATTGCAGTATCGCATGTAAACAATGCCAATAAAATTTTTCAAATTGAAAAATGATAAAGCTATGTGAAAAACCTCACAGGAGTCTATTTGCCAAAAAAATAGGAAAGACAAGGTTCACTTAAAATCAACAGATTTAATGAGACTCAGTTAAAAGTGAACTTGACACAAGTTTCAAACAGCTCGTTAAGATCTCAGTAGCAGGAGAGTCCTGCGCCCTGTCCAGGTCTCTCAGCTCAGAGACCAGGTCGCTCTCAGCTCGGGTGGGCATCAGGAGAGTCCAGCTCGAGTCCAGAGGGCCGTCATGACGCTCGCAGCGACAGCAGACACCGTGAGCAGCGCGAGGCTGTGATCGCAGCGCCGGCTCGAGTTACAGTAAGGACGGCCGCAGCACGAGTACGTGAAGCTGATGTTGTTCCCGCGGATCATTTGACTGCTGGATCGGAAGCAGTCTCTCTGCGACATGCAGCCTTTGGAGAACAGAACGGGTGCACGTCCGAACCAGCCCCGGGCGGTGAAGCAGAGCTCCTGCGGGCGGCACTCCGACAGAACGTGCCTGCAGCTCCTGTTGAAGGACGTCTGAGGACAGTAGTAGCAGTAGAGGTTTTCACACAGATCGGACGCAGTCTCTCTGCGACATGCAGCCTTTGGAGAACAGAACGGGTGCACGTCCGAACCAGCCCCGGGCGGTGAAGCAGAGCTCCTGCGGGCGGCACTCCGACAGAACGTGCCTGCAGCTCCTGTTGAAGGACGTCTGAGGACAGTAGTAGCAGTAGAGGTTTTCACACAGGACAGCAGGAGGACGGAGACACAGAACCAGGAGGACTAGACCTGGGATCCAGCACAGACCAGCTTTACACAACACCAAAAACTCCATTTCGTCCCAGAAAACCCACACCACTGGACTGCAGCAAACAGCTTTTCAAGAAGAAGTTCAAGCATGATTTTAATGAACACATCATCAAAGCAGGTGTGAGCTGTTGCCTTAATTAGCTTAATTAACCAATCAGCTCAATCACACTGCATGCTGTCTATGCTGATGTGATGAAGGCTGTGCACAAGACTGGATCTCAAGCACCGAGGCCTGACATTCTGCTCTTGTCTAAATCTTTATGAACTGTGATCTCTGATTCTGAAATCAAGTCTTTATTCAACTACAAATGAAAGAAAACCAAGCACATTTTGACAGGCGTAGATTGAGTCAAGATGTTTGATGTTCTCAGGATTATTCCCATCAGTGGCACCAAGCACAGGGAGACAAGTCGTAAAACCATCAGTCTAACCATTTAGAAACGACTTTAATACAGGTGAGAAACGCCTGGCGTTCATGACCATCATCCTGAGAGTTTCTGGATCTCGGAGTACAAACTAAGAATTTACAGGACAAATTAAACTCAGCATTTCACTTCTGGATTGTAATTTGATCTGCAGTTGGGTCAATGCAGAACTGATGTCATCTGAATCTGCAGATTCTCTTCTTTATAACATCTACCTAAAACATCCACCTCTTAAAAGACTAAAATGTTACGCAGAAGCAAACATTGACAGCTCTAGTGCAATTTTCCCCGTTCCCCCCCACCCCGACTCAAAGCCTGAATGAAATGCTCACTGCACTCACTCTCACGGCTGTTCATTACTACTTCATGTTTTGGCAAATTGTCTGCATTTCTACGATCTCATTCAAACAATCTGCTTCCGCCACACTAGTTCAGTTTAGAGGCGGACCTTCTTGCAATAGTTGAGAGATGTGCAATAGTTGGGAACATTGAATAGGTATGCCTTGATAAATTCCCACATGATGGTGTAGTTCAGGATCTGTCAGCAAAGACTAATGAACTGAATTATCCTGACCTCCTAAACCAGACCAGCAGTCAATATAACGTCAGGTTAATGTTGGACCCCAAAGTCGGACAGACGCTGCATTTTGGTTGAGAATGAAAGTTGGGTTGACGTCAGTATTTGACATCGTTTTAATATTGGCTTAATGTTGGATTTTGGTTACTTTACAACACAACCCTAAACACAACAAAATATCAATGCCAGCTGACGTCAATATTTGACATCAAATTAACACCGACACTGAATTTCTGTCACCCGACATCGCAACCGTAATTTAACCAAATACCAACGTCTTATGACTGGGGAGGTTCTCAGCTCTGGCGCTTGAGCTCCTGCAGAGTTTAGCAGACCAAACTCAGCCGTCTGTGACTCTAGTACTCCTGAAACCCTGAGCAGTCCAGAACCGCTGCCCTAAACCTATAGGAGAGGGTTCATCATTAAAAAGTAGACATTAAGTGATGAAAACATGCTTTATTTTTTTACAAAGGTTCATCAGTTTCCAGACTGAAGAGCAGTTTGAGTGATTCAAGGACAGTCCATCGCAGCCAGTCTGGGCTGGTATTAATAAAATCCTCATGATATTAATACAAGCCATCATGTCTGTGTGTGTGTGTGTGTCTCAGTCCTCAGGACAGCTGTTCTCCGCGGGACTGAGGGGACCCCCGGTCAGCTGCTGGAGGAGGCTCTGGGCTGTAGCGGCTGTATTGCAGAGATCGCGGCAGCAGCACGTGTAGGTGACGTCATACTCCGTGGCCTTCAGTGAGAGACTCTGGTTCGAGCC